ATCATCTCTTATTGATCCAGTGTTACTACAGGAGGAAACCTAAACTAAACTAACTTTATTTATACTGGATAGCTCTATCAGTTCTAAACTGTTCTTCTTAGAGGTTCAGTAAGGATTATCTCTTATTGATCCAGTGTCACTACAGGAGGAAACCTAAACTAAACTAACTTTATTTACATATACTGAATAGCTCTATCAGTTCTAAACTGTTCTTCCTAGAGGTCCATAATAATCTTATGTCAAAATAAAGACAGAGATATATACTGTACCTCCTCATGACCATATTCAATCCTAAACACACGTGGCCACTGAGGCCAGGGGTTTACGTCAGTTCTATTTTTAGGTGGTTCATTAAGCAATTCGAATGTCGTAATCTTTCTTGCATTCTAAAAAAAATTGGAAACAAATCAGTAACATGGTCTGAACATCGAAGGAATTCTTGTTCCAATGGTAAGCTACGATAAGCAGAAACCCAGCGAGAGAAAAGCATTTATGTAATTGCAGGTAATACTGATGTGATCTTGAAGTGGGGCTTGTATGGCGCAGTCACAGAGCAAAGGCCTTTCACGATCGTGGGTCCAATTCTCGCTACGGACTCGTGTGAAAAGAGTCTGTCAACGCTCTGCCGAAAGTCGTGGGTTTTCTCCGGGTGCTCCGCTTCCCTCCCACAAGGAAAGTTGACAGGGTGGGTCAGTGCTTTTACATGCACTATCCAGTTTTAATACTGAGATGAGTGAGTTTTAAAGCTGTACCTGTCTAACACACGTCGCCACACAGTCCACCCCTGTATCGCCTCCACCAATCACGATCACGTTCTTATCACGTGCATGTGTGACGTCATCATTAAGATATCCTGGCGGGGAAATAGAGGATAAATGTGTTACACAGACACGCAACCGGAGGTAGAATTTGAATCAACCGTTAACAACGATATTTTGAAAGTCCTTACCCAGTTGCTTCTTTTGATTTTTCTCGAGAAAATCCATAGCAAATTGAACCCCTTCAAGTTCACGACCTGAACAATAAAATCAATTTTGAATTTATTTTTTTGTGGAAACAACCATACCTGTATATTTACTTGTTTGCGAGCAACCAAAAATAATTTGCAGTTCGCCTTGTCAGCGAAGCAAGCAGCCGGAGCGACGTAGCTTGTGAGACGGGGAACGGGGGGAAACGTTTTGAGCAATTGAGCCTGAGTCAATTTTGGCAATAGGAAACATAACTCAGAGCTGGACGGATTGATCAATAAAACTTGGCCACAGATCAGGAAAATAGTCAAACCACACAAAGTTTGAAAAGGGAATGTTGTAGAAAAGAGACACCTATTAAATCTGGTCGGTAAATACTGCAAAAAGATATTGGGAAAAATTCAAATTTTCTACTATATTAGCACGCACAAGACCTTCTGATCCAGGTTTGCAGTTAGCTTCAGTCACCTGCAGATATCACGTAATATATGAACAACGAGAGCGAGTGTTTCACCGGGATATCCAAACACTCGAAAACAATGTATGAAAACTTTTCGAGTGTTTGGATATCCCGGTGAGACACGAGCTCGAGTTGTTTATATGGCTTCTCAAATGAATCGAGACGTAACAGAATGTTTTCGTTTACTGATTTGAATAGAATTCTTAACCAAGCATAACGTAATTAGGAATTCTATTCAAGTAATTTTGCATGCGTAATTAAGATATTTGATGAAAACACTAGTGACTTTCATCAAGTTTCACCGGGTTATCCAAAT